CGCACACACACACACTCTCGCACACACACACACACACACACACACACACACACACACACACACACACACACAGTGGACGGAATAGGCAGAGGGAGGAAGACAGAAAGCAGGTAGTCCAAGGGGAGGTGGACCAGAAGCAGGACCGGGTCCAGCAGCTGCAGTAGTAGGATGACGACAGTGCCGATGAGGATGAGGATGCTGATGACGATAATAGTTCGAAGAATGACTGTCCTTCTCCGGCTTCGGCTACTGTAGACATAGACTCGGAACTCCGAAAGATTGATTGATTGATTGATTGACGCGTTGATCGAATCATTGGTTGATTCAATGATTGATTGATTGATGGTTTTGATTGATTGGTTGATTCGTTGATGTTTCATTGATCGACGGATTGACTGATTGACAACTTGATTGATGGACGGATTGACTGATTGATTGATTGACTGACTAACTGACTAATTGATTGATGGTTGAGAAATGGTGTTTGGGTTTGTGTGTGCGTGTGTATGTGACATAGATTTTTTTTTTTTGCGTGCGTATGTGAGAGAGATTTACTGATTCATCAATTACTCATCTTGATTGATTGGTCGATAGACTGATCATTTTCATTGATTGGTGTTGATTCATTCATCGATTCAATTGATGGAGAATGGTTCGCTGCTTGATTGTTTGATTGATTGATTGATTGATTGATTGATTGATTGATGGCTAATTTATGGTGTTCATGTTTTTGTGTGTGTTCGTGTTTTTGTGTGTGTGCGTGAGAGAAAAAAGGTTGTGCGGAGAGGGAAGGGGGGCCGCAGCCAGAGGTAGATGAGATACAATATTTTGCGGGTTTGGTAGACACGCAGACCACCACTCCGACAGGCTGATCGGGGTATTGCAGGTGTGCAGGCGGGGCGGGGAGGGTGCGACGTTCTTGCTGTTCTCGCAACTTCCATGAATATTCCTAGTAAGCTCATTTTTGTCACGTGTTATCTTCTCTGTTTCAGTCAGTGACCTGTCAAACAGAGCCCGCACACAGACACACACACACACACACATTCTATTGTATTGCCTATCTACACTTTTTAGTTATGGATGGCTTGTGATGATTTGTGAAGGGAATGAGAGAGAGAATCTGGGGTCTTTAAAAAAAAAAAACACAAACACCCACACCCACACCCACACACACACACACACTCCCCCACGCACACGCACACACTCTCTCTCTCTCTCTCTCTCTCTCGCACCCACACACACACACACCTGTCTCTTATACACATCTAGATGTGTATAAGAGACAGGCTGTAGACTAAACTCTCTCCCATCCATCGGTATCTCCGTCCTCTCTACCACCTTTTCCTGCATCAGACATGACCTTGGTAGATGGCGAAGCCAACAACCCACCCACACACAACACACACACACAACACACACACAACACACACACAACACACCCCCCCCCCCCCCCCCCCCCCCCCCCCCCCCCCCCCCCCCCCCCCCACAACACACACACAGACACACACACACTCTCTTCCAGAGCCCCGCCTTCTTCGCGCTCGAAGAGCTAACCTCCTAACTCGCCACCTCCAATGCGTCGGTCAATCGGAAATCTGGATCGTATCTCCCCGCGGATTTCCGTATCTCCCGGCGGATTTCCGTATCTCCCCGCGGATTTCCGTATCTCCCCGCGTACGTTCCCGCCCGGCACCCGTTGGCCTCGTCTCTTTTACCATGTCGTCTTTCCTTTGTGCTTTCTTGCGATCTTCGGCGTCATCATCATCGCCATCGATCGCTCCCCTCCTGCTACGTCGGGATTACTGCCTTTTTCCTTTATCCAAACAACGCTAAAATGCGTCGCACGCACATGCATGGGCGACTACAGCGCGCCGTCAATCTGTGCGCGCGGATGAAGGGGCGACAACGGTGCGACGTTATTCGATGCGCGCACGTGCACGGGCGACCTCGCGCCGCGCCACGTCAGTCGATGCCCGCACGTGAGTGGGTCAGCGCAGTGCCAAGTCAATCCGTCCACACAGTCTACCGCCTGCCTCGGCGCAGCCCTTGAAGATCCTGCTCGTGTACACATTGCCGTTGTGCTGTTTCCACGCCTCGTTTCTCAGGGCCGACCCGTAATGGCACTACTCGCCATCCAACAACGTTTCGAAAGCACGGGGACTGCGCCTCTGTCCAGGTGCATTCGGAATCCTGGCGGATGGAGAGTAGCGCAACTACCGGGTAGGCCCTCAGGCCGCGAGTAGCCGACGTACGGTCCCACACACTCAGGGGCCACGGAGGGGAAGTGACCCGAACCGTCTCGTTGGGCCAATGACAACTCGTAGCCGGAGTAATTTTGTCCTCTTCCGGATATAAAAGGACTATTTGTGTTCTTCACGGGGGAAAAGAACAGCCTGCTCAGATTTGAATATTGGAGTAAGCAGATGCCCTTTAGTCTTTCCCCACACGTGCATTGTATCCATTGGCTGCGCTGCGCTGACGAGGGGCGGTGGATGAAGGTGATCCAGGGTGAGGGAGTGCGCAGAGGGGCGCACGTACCGAAATGTTCACAGCGCACCATGAAACGAGAGAGAGCTCTCACGGGGCCAGGCGGCGGCGGGCATAGATGCAAGCGAATATGTTGAAGCACCCACCGTTCAATAAGCGGCCGGCCGCTTGCTTTTTTTCTTTTTATTTTTTGGTCTTCTTTTTTCGCTTTCGTTCCCCTTTTCTTTTTTTTTTTCTTTTCGTTTTGGTGTCGCGTTGTTTCCCGCTTTTTCGTTCCCTTTTTTTTTTTTTTTTCCTTTTTGTTTCGTTGTTGCGTTGTTTTCCGCTTTGTCGATCCCCTTTGCTTTTTTTTTTCTCTTTTTGTTTTGTTGCCGTGTTGTTTCCCGCTCGCTTTTTCTCTTTCCTTTTTTTTTTCTTTTCTTTTCGTTCATTTTTTTTTTCTTTTCGTTGTCGCGTTGTTCCACGGCGTGGATGGTTTTTTGGTAAAAGCCAGTGGGGCAGCGGCTGCCTCGCATCTCACGCACCCACCCACCCATCCCACCCACACACACCCACCCAGCCCCCCACACCCACCCACATATATTATAAAGTTCGTTGCCAATGGTTGACGTGGAGGTTTGAACCCACACACAAATTTGAAATATGCAACTGCCGGTCCCTGTGTGTTCTGGGAGACCGCTTCTTTATGAAGTGTATTCGACGTCAGGCAGCTGACAGGTCAGGACCGCTTCTTTATGAAGTGTATTCGACGTCTCGCCAATTCATCTTATATTCCATTTTGGAGTGTATAGCGAATATGACACCACACACACACACACACACGCACACACACACACACATTCACACAC